CTCAGAGTAGAGCTGCTGCTGCTCCTGCATGTTAAAAGCTGCTGAGATGATTCAGGCATCTGGTTAGGATGTCTCCTGGGTGCCTCCCTTTGGTGGTTTTCTGGGCATGGGAGGAGACTCTAAGGTAGATTCAGAACCCGCTGGAGAGATTTATATCTTGTGCAATCGCCCAAGAACTGAAAAGTGTGGCTGGGAAGAATCATCTCTGGAATGCCCTGCTTACCCTGCTGCCACCACAATCTGAATTTGGAATACCGGAAGACAATGAATGAATTGGCTTTATATTACTAATAACATTATTTGCACATAAAACCAATACACAATTTCCATGCCTACCTACAGACATTGGCCTGTGTGTTGTTTTGTGCCTAAGTCTTTATTACGGGAATTACTTTGTTTCTTTACCTGAGAAGCACCTTGAAGTCATTCTCAAACTCAAAGCTGTTGTTGAGCAGCTTTAAAGCTCCCTTCTGCTCCAGCTCATTCTTATAGCGATCCCTAAAGCGAAGCTGGACGTCATTTATAAACTTGTCCACATATGTCAGCGTCAGGATCTTTTGAAAACCCACCTAGAGATGCACAGGTGAAACGAGAAAAAGGCAATGATCATAAACACGTATAAAACACAAACACCTATCCCCACCTGATTTTTTTTTTTTTAATTCATTCAATGCTTATATGAACGACTTACCACAAAAATCAACTCAAACTCGTTGTCGAGCTTGTATTTAAGACTCAAGCCCCCATGACTAAACGAACTGTTCCCACTTCGCTCCTGAAAAAAAAACCATCAACAGCATGTAAACGGGAGCTTTTGCTACTGCAGCTATCGTTGTGTGTGTTTTCAACCACCTAAATTACGTCACTATAGCACAGGAAATATTAAACTTATATATGAATGAGTGGTATGCGGGGGGGAGGGGGTGGGTGGGGGGCACACAACCCAGAAGAAGCTTATTTAGTTGATCGCTACGCCATAAGCTAGTGCTAGCATTAGCTACCCGTTAGTGCTAGCATTAGCTGGCCCCTTGTTACAGAGAGCTGGATAAAAACACAACAGCCACAAGCAGCTAGCCGTGAGGCTCACCTGAAGGATCACCGAGCGGATCAAAGCGTTGACCGGCCCCGTGAAGGATTCAGTGACACCGGCTCCCTGAAAACACCACAACACTATCCCCCCTTTGCTGAAGATGGTGAAGAAGTCTAGCATCTTCTAAGCACGTACCTGGATTAAATAAAAACACAGACAGATATGTGGATAAAAGCGAAAGAGAGCCCTGGGTTTAAAAAATACACAGTGTCGTTTTAACGGCTCCTGCCTGCCATTCAGAACACGAACTCTTACCGGATAATACTTAAACTGATAATAAATGCCCCAGGAGTGAAACCCACTACCAGTGAAAAAACTGTTTTAGACACGTCAGAGGCACGATTAGGAAGTGATGTTGACTTCCGGCTTTTTTTTTTTTTTTGCTGAGGTTTGCGCTTGCGCAGTTGTCATTTCAATGAACCGGTAGTGTTTTCCTGTCTATTTTACCAGTACCAATGCCAATATTTTTACCTGTTACCTGTAAAAATAATTTGTATTGGGCCTGTCTCTTTAGGTCAACTTCTGTTGTTTAAATGTGTTATAGGCTATAAAAATAACTAAATAAACACATTAATGAATAAATAATACATGATTTATTAATTAATGTGATGTTATAATAATAATAACAATAATAATAATAATAATAATAATAATAATAATAATAATAATAATAAAAAGGGCACATTGAGATATATTTTTTCATTCCCAAAATATAATTTATCTAAAGCAATTAAGTGGGTTATATATTAAACTTAGAGGTTACAAACAACATAACGCTAGTGTCGATCCCATACCAATAACAGCACTGGTATAATACCAGCGATCCACCCATCTCTTATGTATCTGGGGGGGGTGTTCTCTGGAGCAAAGAGGAATGAAAGCCAGTAGAAGCAAGACAGAGTACATGTCCAAATGAGAATGAGGCGAGTGTAACTGTGAAGCTGTAGGAATAGAGGTACTGAAGGCAGATGAGTTCTAATACCTGGGGTCAACTATCTAAAACAACATACAGTGCATAAGAGAGGTCAAGAAAAGTGCAGGAAATGTGGAATGGGTGGAGACAAGTGTCAGTGGAGATTTGTGGCAAGAGGATATCAGCAAGCGAGGATAGTAAAGGTTTGTAAATTGGAAGTGAGACCTGCTATGATGTATGGTTTGGAGATGGGGGTACTGACAAAAAGTTGATGTTAAAACTTTCATTGGGCGTGACCAGGACGGACAGGATTAGAAATGAGTTCATCAGAGGGACAGCTCAGGCTGGAAGCTTTGGAGACAATGTGAAAAAAGCTAGGCTGAGGTAGTTTGGACATATACAGAGATAGTGGAGGTAAGAGCTGCCCGGCAGGAGGAAAACCGCAAGACCACAAAGTTTCATGGATGTAGTCAAGAACAATATGCAGAGAGTTCGTATAACAGAGTAGGAATGAGGAATATGTTGAAATGGAGGCAGATGAACCAACCTGCCATTTATTAAAAATGTAATAAAAACAAGCATATATATACCTGCTACATATATATAT